TCTTCACCTGCCCTAGTTTGAGATTTTTGCATGTTTCCCCCACTATATACGGAGTACGAGCGGAGGTCTCTTGAGCATTTCGAATTCTTCTTCGTCGATACCATTTCTTTTTTTGTCTTTCTTATTATCTTGGACATGTCTGTTGTATTATGGAGTCCTCCGTACACATGCATAGTTTATATACGTTCTGGAACGATACTTGTACCAATGCCTGAATTAATCAAGCGATATTGCTTCTACTATAGGACAAAATATCACCATCTGGTGATTAGAATTGGCATTCACAAGCTTTTTGGTAGCCGAGGAATGCGAGGTGGCTGGTGGAATTAGCCCGCGATGGGAAATTAACCCGGCCAGTATAACACTAATCTATGTCTGGATGTACCAAAAGGCCTTCCAGTTAGTGCGTCTTAACACGGCACATACATATATACGGTGCAACGTGGGACGGAACGCACGCCTGAGCAAATCGCACTACCAGCGTCAAACCGTGTTGCCAGATATGTATATAGCGAAGAAACGGCGACCAAGATTAATTAATGTACGGACACTCCGTACTCCATAACACCGATCGTCGCCATCCACTTGCGGATGAACAGGATCTTCTCCTGACCTCCGAAGGTCGCTGTGGCATCATAGCACTGAACGTCCCGCATAAACTCTGACTCAGGCTTTTTCTGTGCCGTGGACCCAATTCGTGACTTGGACTTTTATGCCCAAGTGCTCCGTTTCTATTCGTTTACCTTGGGTTTTATGCACGTTTGTTGGTCATGGTAAGCACACGAGCTGGCTTGAAATGGCACCTTGATGGCTATCTATCAGGTTAGCTCGTTGTTTGGAGCATGGCGATGGTGCGTATCATCATCCCGGCCGCCCAGGTGGTTCTCAGGCATTAGCCTGATGATGAACCCCCGAAGAACGAAAAAGAAGCGCACACACCTCCAGAGAGCGGAGTAAAAGCGTTCATCCATCGCCGAGACAAAACCACGTTACACCTGCAAATCCGATCAGCAGGTGGACAGAATTGATTATACATAGGCTTCGGAGCCTCAACCAACCGGCCTGTTTGCCCTGCCGAAAAAGGGATAGAACAACCACGTTGAATAACCACCCCTGACGTCCCATTTTTGTTTTTGGACGCCTCTCGGATACAGGCCCAATTTAAGATGCTACAAACGCCCCTCTCGAGAGATAGTGATCTGACCAGGTTGACGCTGGGTTATCTCGCTAAGGTCGGAGTACGGATTCCGTGGCTTATCGGGCGACAATATTATGAGCTCACCTCTCAAGAAGCAGCTTCTCCATCCTGTTGTAGGGGCTCAACCTCGTGGGAGCAGTGAATCCACTTCGGAATGCGGCCTGTCTCCTTTCTCTATAGTGCCTATCATCTTGGTATATCCTGACATTGTTGCTCCATAGATTGCTGTCTAGCCATGCCCTGGATCCGACTCCCGAAAACCTGGGAGGCCCACCGATGCCATATATGTAGACTGGATCTCAAGATTCCAAGGGGAGCGGCTACGGGATCCCAGGCCGGACAGTCCTAGTGTACGCACCAGCACAGTCACAACGTGTCCTTCGCGCCTCATATGACCTCTGTTTTATTCTCTTCGGGACAAGAGGCCTCCTTTCCGAGAGCCATGGCCATCGCAAGAACAACTTTGCCACCCTGAGGAAGCGAGATCTGAAGAAGCGAATCTGCGGATCCTTGTCGGCAATCAAATTAATGCAACGCTGTGTTTGTTGTGTAGTGTGCTTCTTTTTTTTTTTTTTTGGCCCCTTTCTGAGAGCGGAGGATGAACGATCTGCCCACACCAGACAGACACTTTTGCTTGACGGGCAAACTCCGCTCCGATCAGTAATATCTGTACACTGATTGTCTCTTGATGCCCATCAGAAGTTCTGGCGTGGCTTCTGGTTGGATGACCCGAGGATCCGACGCCACAATGGCGGCAAGGCGTCGATCGGATCTGACGGCGTTGAGATCTGATAGTTGCCCGATCTCTTTTGTTGTCTCACTCCATTTTTATTTTCTCCCCTGTGAAATATCCTATCACCGCACTGCAATATAAGTGTAAGTGTAGTCTTTAAAAAGGGTCGTCGAGCTCTCGAGCTTTTCTCCCATAGACGAGCGTTACACGTGATCCCAAGCTCTGGCCAGGGCATTGCTGAGTGGGAGCGCGTGGAATGGACTGTCTATTCGTTGATAAGCACATGGTATAGTGCTATATTGACGATCTCACAATAGTGATATTGGTGATGGTTTTGGTAGACAGAATGACGCCGACGATGTATCAAACGATGTTCACCCACTAGAGCTATTTTTATTGGCTACATTTAATGAACCTTATCAGTTACCATTGGCTGAAAGTATTCTATGGTCCAACGACAACTGTTGAAACTTAAATCAAGCCAATGAAACTGTTTGAATTCAACCAATAATATATTTTAAATCATACCCACTTTTAAGCTATCCATCGACTTTTCAGCCTCAACTTCTAACTTCTCGTCTTTCATCCTTTCTCTTTGTAAAATTGGGCCTTTTCATTCCATTCTCCATGTTGTCTTTTAGTATCACGGAGTGATGTGCTTCTCCTACACATGGTATCGCTAATCAATCCAAAATTTAACGACATAGCTACCTAGTATTACGGCATCCCATAGAACAGCTGGCGCGTACCTGAATTCCCCACTCCCGCAGTCTCCACGATGGATCCAGACGGTAGTGGTGTCGGCTACAGAGCTCTCCTCTTTCCCACAAGGGAGGAGCCCTGCTAGACAGAATAGAGAGCAATGGAAAGCGGAGAAATATTACCGAAAACCAAACTTGATAGGTTTCTCCAGGGGAACCATCATTGCGTTGCTCTTCTTACCTTACGAATCCAACAACACCTACGGAGTACCTCACGGCGAACAGCTCAAAGTAACATTGATACCCCAACTAGCAAGACTTAACCAACATACTTTCAGAAAAGTCTTTGAAGAGAAGCTCTGTTCCCCACGCGAGGTTGTAAATGGCCATCCTGATTTCCGCTTACAATAAGCGAAAGTAACGGGCAGAAACTACGCCTGCTAGCTTGCGAGGAAGACCTCGAGTCCTCCAAACGTTGCATCGCCGAACTAAAAATGTACATGATAGTTAAATGAACTGTGTAGTGGACCCACCGCCCAACTTGCTCTTGGTCTATGGGAAGGAACCAAAACACCCTTGCTTACTGTCCTTAGTGCATAACCCACTCCATAAGCTGACTGTCGGCCATCTCCGCGTTTAATTTATGGCCAATAAACCCCAGGAAAGAGGCTATTCAATGAGCCAGGTACGGAGGAAAAGTTGATATACTTAGAGCGTTGGGTGGATAACCACATGTGTTCTATCTCAGGAATACCATGTCGTGATTGAGGCGGGGAATACTTACATCACCGACTGGCGAGCCTATATTCCTTCTAGACTACAAACCCCACATATCCGCTATTGCCAGTTTTGTATACCCAATACGGTACAAATGCTGGCAAACCTATATCCATGCTCTTTCGTTGCTTGTGTACTCGGCATCTGCCTAGTAAACTGCCGATTCATTCTCATAGTACAAAATCAACAAAATGATGAGCTTGGCATCTACATACAGTAACCCTGACTTCAATACCGTTCCAGCACGGATAGTGGAGGAGTAGCAGCAAGAAATACTCTCCCCGGCTGCGAATAATACGTCATCCCAATGTTGCTCTGTTACCTCCAACGACCTCTGAATACTCACCGGTGCCTTGGACCGGACCGGTTATACTCTCCAGAACGCACCGGTCACTCTGGATGGAGAACCTGATTTAGGTCCTTACTTCAACCCCGGCCCGTAAGAGACTATTCTTGACCATCATAAACGAGATGATATGTTCGGTCCTCACCATTTCAACGCTAGTCAGATAGGGCGTCTAGTACGCCAGCAGTTAAATGAAGATCTCAACGACAGAGGGGCCCAGAGCTAGTCAACTCAATATATTGCCAACAGGGCACATAGAAGCTGCCGTAATTCAGATACGCTTACTCCCCTACCACCCTGCTTAATCTACCAAGTGGTCAATGTACCACAAGTCAAATGAGAGGGTGACTATGTTGCTTTTGCATACCTCTATGGAAAGAACTTCCGCTTACCATTCAAACATGGAACATATAACTTCCTCTACTTGTATAAATTGGTGTTATATATTAGCTTTAGATTTATATCATAGTAACGATGGTAATAACATATGATACTCAAGATAAACAATTGAAAAGATAAAATAATAGTAAACAAGAGAGTAATTATAGTGGTGTTGGTTCTGCTATAAGAATTGAGAGATAAATATTTAAGCTCACTTGGCAGATAAAGCCATTCATTTATCCCCGCTTCACATCCTGTCTCTATATTTCCTCTAACGAATGAGATGAGATTGTGTAATACTCACATTATTGACACTTTAATATTGGTCGTCATAAAGATTAGATATAGTATAGTTGGTATCGGAGTAATGGCAAGCTACAATAGATGCTTAACGAAACTGTGATATTGACCTTGGATTAAAACAAGGTATTTTTATACACAACACTCTTCTTAGACAGCGATCCCCTGTTTCTTTAGGTACTACTTTTTGAATAAGAGTGTATCTATAAAATAAAAAATAATATATATATATATAAGAATTAAGAGGTTGGCTAGTTATGGTCCTCTGACATACATGGCTTTCTTGCTGGGCCTTGCTGGGTTGTCTCACCTTCCTCCTCATGGCAAAAATCTCCAAGTTCCTCGATAAGAATTTTGTAATAAAGTATCAATCTATGGCTTTGATCTTTATTAAGCAGTATGTTACCCCGTGAGTTCGTATTTGACGTCAACAGCTTGATGGTCTAGCAGATTTAAGGTTTCAGGACAATATTTGGATTCGCAGAGCCGCGCGCTTAAGGTTGAGCCTTATGATAGCTAAACGATAAGTTGCTCTTCTCCGTGCTCGCTGTTTTATCTATCCTTAATATACTGCAGAAATAATTTTAAGAGGTTGACAAAAGAGAATTACCCCTTAATGTGAATCGCAAGGTACATAGTTGTTCACATATTAAACAGGTATCGATCACAAGGCGTTACCAGGGTTCGCTATTTGTTGGATAAGTACTCCATATGTTATTCGAAGCGTGGGTCTTTCTATGCACAGCGATGATTGCATAGCAGCGTATCAGTAGAGGGAGCGGAGTACAGAGTACAGGTGGAGGTTTGGTGCTTTGCCCCTGATTTCCTGTTGATACCGCCCGTAAAAATCAAGGAATGGTGCAAGCCATCGTGGCTACGACATACGCGTACAGCACTCATCATGACTATACACAGAGTACGTAATACACAGCCTTAGTATAATGACAAGTTGAAAGCAATTTATACCCTCCTTCTCGCCATGACTGCTGCGACTGCAGTTATCCAAGATAGAGATATCACCGTTATCTTGCCTACAGAAACCCCAACCGCGACGATTGATCCGCAGCAGTGTCAGACACATAATCTGACCGAATACTTCGCTTACCAGAAGCCATCGGGCGCATTTGTATCAGCCATATGGTCGCACGCAACCAGGTTTCTCAAGCCCTACAGCTCGACTGCTGCCTCTGGAATTCGTGGTTGCCCCTTTTCTGAGTCCTCCGACTGGTGTAGTCTCCGCACTTCCATTTCCGCGTCTGTACTACTCGCGTACTTCTCATACGAAAGCTCTGCATCTGTCTAGTAGAAATCATATAGCTCTGCGGTCTTCTCACTTGCTGAACAGTGCCCCATTGGCTGGTTCAAGGCAATGCGTTCATTTTCTGGTGGCGCAACATGGCTAAATGAAACTATTATCTCCGGCGGGTGCTATACCGAAGCCGATCCAACGTCTGGCTCCGGCGCATTGGGCGGCCAATGGTAACAGCAAACCTTACGGCCACTCCAGGTGCAAGAGCAAGCACCGCGAACGCCATACCACCGACCGGGCGCCCAGAGACCAATGGTGCTCTTGATCGGGCTAGGATCTGCTTCCCGTGGAAAGCTGCTGGTACATGGCTAGCCTTGGTCCTGATAAGCTCGATGGTGTAACTGGGTATTACAACATTAAAACTTTGGTTGTCTGAATGGTTGAAAAGGGGTTGTTGTTGTTTTTCGTTCGTCTGTGATTGAGTTTCTTCTCTCTCCTGGTTCTCCAGGTGTTCTGATGAGAATGTTGGTAGAGATAGTTACTCCCTCTCAACACATCTTCATAATAGAATAATACTTTCCGGGTACTCTTATCAAAGCCCTGCTAACGCCCCATTTTGTTGACTATCTGGAGTCGAGTTGTTTGATATTCGAGGCTGAAGTCAAGATAAGCAGCGCTTACGTAAGACAACTACAGAGATAAGAGCCGATAAGCTTATCGCTTGTCGCGAGATAGAAAGTGACGAAGAATGAGGAGTCGAAAAGTGGCGATGAGGCAGAATAGCAACTTGAACACCTGAGGAGGACCAGGAGAGTCATATATTATACACGTATACACTGCGCGCAGCCAGAGAGCAAGTTACAACATGTCCGAACAGCAAGGTGCCCAGATCGTTTCGCATGGGCGCGGAGGTAGGGGTTTGCTCCTTTATACCCACCTTTCATACCTTGAAACCAGCTAGCTAACGAGAGATTCCTACTTGCGACTCATATAGGCCAGGGAAATATTGCTGCTGATTCTACAAAGTTGGTTTATACCTACGCGGATGCGACCTGTTTCAGCCAGGCTCTTCTAATGCGGGATATAGATACGTTGATGCAGAAATTGTCCGAGAAGGCGTTGAAGGAGATCAAGGAGATGGCGCATATTCTGCGGGGGTATGATGTGGATAGCATTCAAGTATTATGCTGTGGGAACGTTACTGATATCCGGGTTCTTGTAGCGTGGAGGAGTAGGGAATATAGGGTCACCTAAAATACCTCCATCTCGCGGCCAACCTCATGATGCAGATGTTATTCCCCCCACCGCAATGAGGCAGCCTTCTGCTACTGAATATCATGTTGGGGTATGTTATGCGCATCGCTTCGATTTGTGTGGTTTTGGTGACTAACAGATATATAGAGGGGAGGGCAAGGCAACGTACACAGCGAAATACCCAAGGAAGCGGAGAAGCCAAGGGCAACAGAGGAGCAATCGGGTGATAAGAAATCTAATGAGGGGTTTGTGGATAAAGTGAAGCAGATGGTTTTCGGTCGGAAGGAATAATTAGTTTATAGCTACTGTATCATGATTTTCCTTGGGATATTTTGGTCAATGAAACTCTTTACTCACTGATATTTTCAAGCCCTAGTTTTGTATATTGATAGTAGGTTATTAGAGACTAGACTAGGCTATTAAGAATGAAATGGTAAATGAGACTTTGTAGTAAAGTGCAACAAATACGCAACGCAACACAAGGCAACATACTAAGGTGGAGAGGTTGGATAGAGTAAAGGTAAGGGTAACTAAAGGTAAAAGGTAGGATATATAGAGATATAAAGAGATATTTGAGTGTCCGAAGGTAGGCGAATAGGTTATCTATCGAAAAGGTGGAGAGAAGTGAAAATATAGAACGAGGTGGTAACATATGAGATTTGCCCGGGTATAAATAAGTAGGTAAATAGATTCTGGTTTGGCTAGTACTCAATGATGGATATCAAAGAGTTAAGGAGGCGAGGAGAAGTAGGTGGATGGGTATATATGGAATACGGAATATAGATAGGTAAATAGGTAGGTAAAGGGGAGAAATGTCAAAAACTGGAAAACGCTGTGGATATATCAAACTGCAGCCGAGCAAGGCAAGAGAGAGGACGAAAATTGGTTTGAGGAAAGAAAAGGGAGAAAATATGGGGTATGAGAACAAAGGAGATTAATAAAATAAGATAAAATATTAAAACAGATGTAGGAAAAGAAAGAGAGACGAGAAATCAGGCAGACGGATAGACAGGCGTGAGCAAGCTCTTTTTTGTTCTTTTTGGGTAGTCAATCATCACATTTGATGGCGTAAGATTGTTGGCTTCGTGGATTAGTTGCCGCGGGAAGATTCCATGTTCTTGGTCAACTCAGCGACGCGGGCCTTGATACGTGCAGCTCGCATTTCGATTGCTGATGATTGTTAGTAGGAGCATATATGTAAACGGGAATGTCAACGAAGAGTGACTTACTCTCTTGCTGGGTGGCTTGCTTTGGCGCAGAGGCAGGAGATGCGGGAGCGGCAGCAGGGGCAGGAGCAGCGGCCGGGGAAGCGGATACAGTAGCATCGGGGCCGGCGGCGCGCTGGGCGGCGTTCTTGCGGATCTGAGCCCAACGGTCTAGAGCAGGAACTTCGGGCTCGGGCTCTGTTTCGGTGTGTGGCTGCTTTTGTGGCTGCTTTTGTGGCTGCGGCTCAGGGGTAGCGGGCACAGGGACCTCCTTTTCGGGCTGGACGTTGAATGTCTTTGACTCTGTCTGGGCAGGGGCTGGAGCAGGAACTGGAGCGACCTTTTGCTCTGATTCAACTGGAGAAGGAGTATCGACGGGGACACAAGCGGGCTGGTCGACTATGGGGCTCTGGTGGGAGAACGAGGAGAAAGCTGCTGCATCTGGTTTCATGTCATCGGGAGAAATGGGTGAGACGGGAGCGGACTCTTCGCCTGCAGTTGGACGCTCAGCCTCTGGCGGAGGAGGAGAGACGCGATGTTCCTTGACTGGTACGGGGGCTTGGGTGGCAGGAGCCGGGGCAGGAGTAGCCTTGACTGGCTTACGCTCTACAACAGCGACTGGTTTGGACTTTTGACCATCTTCTTGGTGTTTCTTCATGCCGAAGCCGGATAGGCGGCGGGTGTGAGGGATTCTTGAAGAAGATGCGGGAGAGGAGTTAGCTGAACGCTGTTGGGATTGGGACTGAGCGGTTCGGCTCTCGAGAGCGGCACGGGCAGCAGCTACAGCGGACTCCTTCTCGGTGTGGTCAGCCTTGGAACCGCCAAACATGCCCTTCAGGCCGGTATTGCCTGCTTTCTTCTTCACTTTCTTGTCGTCTGCCGCAGGCTCCTCTTTCGTTGGCGCCGGGGATTCAACGCGAGCTGGAGTTGGGGCGGGTGAGGCCGTCGCTGGAGTGGAAGAGGCTGCTGGAGCAGTAGCAGCAGCAGCAGCGGCGGCAGCAGCAGGGGGTGTAGGAGGTGTAGGCTTGTCAAAGTTGATATTGCTTGCCGGGCCAGGGATAGGAGACTCGGTCTTTGGCGGGGTGTCTGGGGTAGGAGAAGTAGTGGTAGACCTAGGCAGACGTTCACGGATAGAGGGTATATCACGGCTGGAAGTGGTGCTTTCATGCTTTGGTGGTACCTCTGGCTTGTTCTGATCCGTAGACGACCTCGATCTGGATCCCATATCAAGGCTTGAAGCAGGCTTTCCAGTTCCGGCAAGAGAATTTTCCAAATATGCGTTGCGAATGTTGTTCTTGTCATAGTTTCTTGCCCACCTCATTGCCTGGGACATTTCTGATATCATTGCTGGCTGCAGTGTATGGACCGAGTTAGTCTTGGAAGTCTGGTTCATTTCCATCTTTGCGCGCTCCTTGTTTGCCTCTTCGAGCTCCTGTTCTCTTCGCTTTCGCTGGAGAGCGGCGGCAGCAGCCTGAATGCGCGCATGCTGGTCTGGTCCTATACTGGCTTTGCTTGATGGAGCGGTGCCGTTGTTGTTGCTGTTGTACTGTTCTCCGATAAGGCTGCCCTTCTTTATGCTAGTCTTGCTTCTGCCGAGTCGACCCTTTCGAGTCTTGAAGCCAAAGAAGGTCTTCTTCTCGGCGATGTAGGCACCGGCTTCTGGTTCAGGGGCGGCTCCCTTGATCTGTTCTTCAAGAATAAGCCATTTCCCGCCTGGGATGACGGTTTCAAGCAAGGCGCATCGACCGAATACAGCCTTTCGGACGGCTGATTCCTCGCCTGACAAGCTGCTGACCCAAACCCACCAGAAGGAGTCGTCAAGATCGAGGGTCGAGATGCTGGCGAGCTCACCGGGGTCGAGCATGGAGCCGTCATCAAATCCACGTTTGTGTGATTGGGATGATTGCCCACGCACAGCTTGAAGTGGAGGGAGGATCTTGTCCGGGGGCAGTAGGAGCGTGGTCGGTGACTTGACTCCGTTCTCCTCCGAGAAGCCCGAGGAGAGGAAGTCTGCCCAAGACGGGGTGGTAGGTCGACCAAAGTCAGCGGTTCGAGACTCAGGGGCGGATCTGAGTCCCATTGGCGTACTGCTAGCTTTCTTGGAGCTGTCATCGAGATCGTCTTCGATGGCACCGCCGAAACCGATATCCTCAAAGCGAGACCAAGAGGCGTCCTGTAGGCTGGTCGATGCCTTGACAGTAGACACTTCGGACTGGTTTGTAGTGGCTATGCAGCAGAGGACACGCTTGCACTCTTCTGTCAGGGCGTCCTGGGGATCCTCGTAGCTGGCAAACTGCTGTAGAGCATGGTCACTAGCACGGTACTCGAAGTTCTTTGCGCGGCGCAGGAGGGCAAATGGAGTAGGAGAGACAACATCGACCAGCATGACGACCTTTGTAGTGGATGTCTGGAGCAAAGAGGGCGTCTCTGGGGGGTACTCTGTGGCACGGACCAGGTTCTGCAGCGATAGGGGTAAGGTGGAAATTCCGTTGGTACCTCGTAGGGAATCCGGCGACTGCGATCTCAGGTATGCAAAGAATAGATGACTCGTAGCATCGGCGGCACTACAAAGTCAGTCATTTTTGTCCTCTGAGCGATATAGTATCGGAAAGGGGGTATCTACCTATTCCATGTCTTGTAGCTGGCCTCGAAGCCCTTGCCGGTGTCTGCATGTTCGAAGGCCCACCATCCAGCGTATCTAGACAGTTTTCTGCCTCCGAGGCCGTTGGATTTGCCGTGGGCTGCAATGGCGGCCATGAGATCGAAGAAGGCAAAGATGATCTTGGTGCGGGCGTCCGAGTCAACACTGAGCGGGATGAAGGTCGAGAAAGCGTCTCTGGCAAATTGGGCATCTTGACACAAAAAGAATCCACCATTAGCATTTCCGTTCTGTTCATGACATGGAATATCAAGAGCAGCACACCATTCTCGCCGACTTTGAAGAGCTCGTAGGCCTCCCAAGTAACTACTCCGCCGGGCAATCTGGCCCAGCACCACTTCATCACACTGCAGAGCACCTAACGCGCGTCATTCCATCAGCCAATCGTTCCCAATTGTCTCATTATAAGATCAGGTACCATCAATTTGAAATAATAATAAAAAAGAGAAAAACACGTACCATTGGCTCCGAGAGCCGCAGTTCCTGAGCGAGCTGGCTCCCCTGTAGCGGTCCTGGCCTGTCCGTCCGCTCTGGCGGGGGGCTAAAGAAATTGCGAATAAACGACTTTGCAGCAGACGGGTCGGACGTAGGTCTGAACGGGAGCAGTAGAAAGGGGATGTCGAGGGCTGTCGACGGACATTGTGGTCAGTACAAGCTGCTTCATACATAAACGCATGATCTATATAAAAAGGAGAAGAGAGAGATAGATACCCCTATCTTTGAGCTCGGAGGTGCATCCGAGCAGGAGGTCGACGACCTCCTCTGGCTCGACCTCTGTCCTGAGCCATGCATCGGTCCATGTTGGCTTCTCTGGCTCAAGCG